GGGTGCTGCTGGCGGTCGCGGCGCCCTCGGCAGATGGTCCTTGCGGGGGCTGCTCCGGGCTGGGAAGGGCCCTCCGGGGCTCGTTTTGCACCGTGTGTACAGTGCCCCGTGCCATGCCTGAGCCGCAGTTAGGATGCAGGGTTTCACACACCGTGTTAAATTCTTAATCTTGATTTGATTTTATTTCTTGTAAGAAACAGGTGAAGAAAAATAGCTATATGCAGGTAGACTGCACTTTAAAACAGACCTAAAATGTATTTTGCCTCAGAGAGGACAGACAAGAGGGTTGACAGTTAAAAGGCAGCAGACATAGAAGTCTCTCCGTGGGAAGGATCAGCTCCACAAGTCAAAACGAGGTCACCTAAAAAAGGACTTTTCATGATGCCTTTGGGGAAGCAGACAAGGTGCATGGAAAGGAAGGTCTGTCCGGATGAATTTGGCATTGAGCGAGGTGTTGCCTACACTAATGCTTGTGTTAGTACGGTCAATAGCAAAGCCGGTCAGAGGCAGGAGGTGTGCCTTACCAACAGAAGGGCTCCTGTTGTTGCAGTCTCCACCTGTCCCAGCCAGGAATGCTGTGCTGGTGCTGCTGGTAGGGATGGTCAGTCCCCTGCAGCTGAGTAGGCAGCAAGGCAGGAGACAAACCAGTGAGCTGTGGCTGCTAACCGCGTACATTTTTGCCAGAACGCTGTCTTTAATTGGCTTCTAATGTCTTCTGGGGTTTTCTCTTGAGGTACGGGTAAATTGGGGGATTATAGAAGTGTTTTTTAAGGCTGTTTCAGGTATATAATCTCAATCATATTTTTTTTCTAGAAAGCAGAGGTAGGTTCTGTGGGATGGTAAAAGGGTAGCTGGGTATTTGGCAGGCAGGTAGGAATACAGAATGTTGGAAAGTAATTTTCTAAGTTTCTGATATTTAATACCTAAGTACCTAACAGTGTGGTGTGCAGGAAATAAGTCATTTCATTGCACTTGAGGGACTGAGAAAAGATCCATCTGTTATGGTGGTTTGGGTTTTTTATGCTCTCTGATGTGCAAACAGATAAGGTCATAGGCCAATACTCAGATTTGCTGAGGAACAGGCTCACATATTTTCTAAGATAAAAAGCTTTCTAGATATTTTGATATCCATGTCTCAGTGTTTTAGAAAAGATGATATGTTTGATTTCTTTACTTAATTTGATGGATTTAATTGCAAAGAGCAGGAAACAGTAAATCATCAATTCTTTTTGCTTCTTTGGAAGTTACTTTGATCATGGTGAATAAACGGAGGATTGTTTTGTCTCTGCTTCAGTTCAACAAAATAGAGGCTGGCCCAAATGTTTGAACTGCTTCATTACAAATGAAAATCAACTAAGAATTTTCTGGATACTCATATTTCCAGTACTGAGAGCTCTAGGAAGAGGAACCTTGTCCATTCTATCAGACTAAGATGATTGTAAAAAGCTATGGGTTTTTACTGACTAGATTTAATCCCAGACTTGTAAAGTTTATACAAACCCCTAAGTTAAAGCAAAACATTTTAAGTCTTAAGCTTTCCTGTGTAAAAAATACATTGTGGCTCAATGATAAACTGCATTTTCAGTACATAATGTGTAATATTTTCCTGAAATGGCTCCTGGTTTAGTGGCTGAGACCCTGTACAGCCTAAGAAGGAAAGCATATGTTTTGTCACTGTGAAATTGAAGCTGCAGCAGAAAGTGATTATATAGAAGTATGATGCCTGTTTCTGTAGGCAGAGTGAAATATGCCAAATAAATGCTTGTATATGTAGGAATGCTTCTTTGATCTGGTGGAAAGGGCCCTGATCACAGCCGTGCAGTGGAGTTTGGAGTGCAGCAGTGATGCCATGTTAATTTGCAGTTCCTGAATGCCTCTGAGAGGTAGTGAGACAGCATGGTCCTGAGAACTGGTGTTTCCAGCCTCAGTTTTTCACTCACCTGTTAAAACGCTGTAAGATCTCTAAGGGTGTTTGTTGGAGTGGGTGCTTGACTGTAACTTGGTGGTTTGTAGCACTTACTGCATTATCCCTTTCAGTTTACCTAGGTAAGTTTTTCATTGAACAAGGTGGCCATCGTACTACTTTGTGTCTCTCCTGAAACTTGAACCGTAACATTTTTCTCTCTATTGTCATAGCTGTAAAAGACCCTACAGCTGTAGAAAGAGCAAATTTATTGAACATGGCCAAGCTGAGTATCAAAGGACTCATTGAATCAGCCTTGAGCTTTGGCCGCAGTCTGGATTCTGACTACCCACCTTTGCAGCAGTTCTTTGTTGTCATGGAGCACTGCCTAAAACATGGCCTGAAAGGTGTGGTAATTGTTCTAGCTATGTATTTCTCATCCCAAACATGCCTTTTTCTTTTTCTTTCTTGAACTAGATAGAAAAAGTATGTTATGTTGCATTCAAAATGGAAAAAAATTAAGTTGTCACCTTTTATGATGAATAGTGTCATTATTAATTCCTCACAACATATATTTCCACATTTGCCAGCGTTGTCTTTGGTGCACCATTTGTTGTAAGTGGTCTAGGGAATATAGCAGCTGCATGTGTGTATGTAGTGTATAACATCCTTTTTATATTATTTTGTTCTAGCAAAGCAATTTGATGTTCACAGCAAAATAATTCTGAAACTGGCTTTAGATACTGGTGAGCTGACCAGTGTCACAGTTAGGAGTTATCTGGAAGTCTGGACTTAGCAGTTAGTAACTCTTCTACTCACCAACGATTGTGAAGGAAACTACTGCAGTAATTTAAATTAATTCAATTAATTAACTTTTCTTTTCCTAGTAAGAAAATCCTTTCTAAGTTACAATAAAACCATCTGGGGTCCTCTGGAACTTGTGGAGAAATTATATCCAGAAGCTGAGGAAATAGCAGCAAGTGTCAGAGATTTGCCTGGCCTTAAGTAAGTATTGGGAAAAATACAGCAGAAAAATAAAGGACCTGATTGAGAATCTACAAGTGTCTCCTGAGTCCATTTGGCATTCATCAAGCTGTTGAACAGCTAGCAATGATATTGGGGAGAGCACAGATGGATTGTGTTAGCTTTTCCTGTTCTGCATAAAACAGCTGAAAAAGTAGTATTTTTATGTTCTTTTCTAGTGCTCCTGGGAGAAAAGTTTCATGAGTGGTGGACAACAATGGGGCAAAAAGGAGCAGGTTGTGTATCAAACAGGCTGTAGTCTAGAACTGCAGCAAACACTAGTGAGTGTAGTCAGCAAAGGCTGTGCAAAACTCAAGGTAACATACAAAGAGGAAAGAATTAGCTTTTCAGATTCTTGTGTGCAGGGTCCTACTGAAATGTAAATTTATGCTGTGAACTACATTCTCCTCCCATTCCCCTGCATTCTGGTTTTGTATTCAGCTCTAAATGGGCTACACATGAATTCCAAAAGGGTTTGGTTACACTGTGATTGGTATATGGCAGCATGAGAGTTACAATTTGTAGCTTTAGACCTTATCTCAAGTACATAGGCATATAAATTATTATTTACTCTTGTATTAGGCCAAATGAGGTAATGCCCTTTGCCCAGCATGTTTCTTAGAAAGAAACATGTTTCTTTCTATCCTCATACAGATTGTGAGTGTTTTTTGCATTTATGTGTTTACTGCTTTCTATTTGTGCAAGCACTAGAAGAGGAAGATCTAAAGGTCCAGGTTTAATTTGTTTGATATTAAATTTGCCAGTTACATGCATTTTCATCTCTTTTGAATTGTTTTCCAAGATGCCACTGAACCTGTACACAAATCCAAATTAAAGCTAGAATTCAGTCTGTTGTGTAAACCCAGAGGATCGGATTGAGAAGCTAAGCTGGCATGATGAGTTTTGATGGGCATTTGGTTACTTCTTTTGCAGTTCCTTTGGAGACTTTATAAACAAGTTGGAGTCTGAATTGTTGCAGACATTTTACTTCAGCAGAACACAGGACTTTTAGGATTATCAGGTTCTTGTGCATTCTTTTGTCCTGTTCTTTGCAGGGACTCCTCCCACACTCAGTTGAGTAGATGAAAATTTTTCTGGTGTTATTCCAAAACTTGAAACCTAGACATTATAGCTTCCCAGACTGTGATGCTCAGCTAATAATTTGAAATAGCAATACCAGTAGAGTGACAAGCTGTTTGGCAGTGAGTTAATCAGTATGTTGTTAATTTGGGGTTGTTTCTCCATGCCCTTTGTTTCAGAACACCACTGGGCCGTGCTCGGGCCTGGTTACGTTTAGCACTGATGCAGAAGAAAATGGCTGATTATCTTCGCTGTTTAATCATTCAGAGAGATCTTCTCAGGTAAAAAATTAAGTAGATTTGGTTTATAATTTATTTTTAGAGGTTTAGTTTCCTAAAACAACACATTCCTCCACCATGCAGAGTACAGACTAGATACCTCTGGAGAGTACGTGAACTCACCCCTGCTGTGTGCGTGGTTTGCTACTGAGCTGCCGTTGCACAGAGGGCTGTTGCTCTGAACTTTTCCTTTCACACTTCTAAGAGTGGCATTGCTCTCTTCTAGTGTAACTTTTGTCTAAGAGGGTAGTTGAAGCACAAAGGGAGAAAAAAGCCTTGTCATCTTAATTCCAGTTGTATAAACTGTATTTATTTTTAAGGCTTGTGTTGTATGCTTAGGTAACGCTGGTACGTCAGGATGATGTTGGTGTTCAGCAGCTGTGGACTTCTTCATTGAAAGCACTTTGTTATATAGAATCAAAAACTTCATTCAAAAAGTACAAGGAGGCAAAAGTGCTGGTATTCTGTTGTTTAGTGAAGTATTTTTATTTTTAAAACCTCTTTAGCACTTCAGCCCTTTGTTTCTCTTTTACCCATTCACTCTCTTCCTTGGCTTCTTTAATTTCAATCATGTGTTCATAAAAGTCCAGAAGTATTTTCACACAAGGTGATTTTTTTTACCATTCTTCTTTTGCTTTCCATTGAAGTGCTTGTTCACAACATAAGTTGTGTGACTCGGTGAGGCCGAACATCCTTCCTGGTCAAAAGTGGCACTTGGCAGGTGTATGGGGAAGAGCCTTTTTTTATGGCTTTGTTTTTGGTTTGGTGTTTGAAGGCAAAAAAAGTCTTGCCCTCTGAATTTCTCAGCCCGCCATCAGCTTGTGGCTCAGGTTTCTGGAGCCAAAGGAGAATCTTTGTTTGTAATAGCCTCTGAGCTGAACCATGGACTTTGAATGTTTAAGTATTTATGGGGTGAAAGTATGGGCAGAACCAGTTTGTCTTCAAGGATGTTGTAGTAAGGCTACAATAAGAGAAACAATTCTGATTCATATGTTGCTTGTTATTAATTTATTGGATGTTCATATAGTGAATATACCAATAAGATGCAATTTTCTTCTTTAACAGTGAATTTTATGAGTATCACGCACTGATGATGGAGGAAGAAGGAGCAGTTATTGTCGGGCTGTTAGTTGGGTTAAATGTGATAGATGCTAACCTGTGTGTGAAGGGAGAGGACCTAGATTCACAAGTAAGTCAGTGCAGGTAAACGAATGCACATGCAATCTGTGAGATCTTTATGTACAGTGAATTTTGTTGCTATGTTCTCTTGATAGAAATCCTTCTAGAGACTGTTCAGGGTTTGGTGATTCACTCCTGCATCTGTGGGGGCTGTTCCATTGTGTCGTTTCAGTTGGGTCAGACCTTCAGGTGGTGATAATTGGAGTGCAAGGGTAAAGTTTTGTGCTTTGTTGTCAAATGGATGCAATAGTGGCAATGCTGAGTTCTTTCCATCTTAATTGTGTCATTTCCTCTGTGGGAGAAGTGTAGTTCCATAATCATTTATCCTGTTGGTTCATTTATTGTTGTTCTGGAACATAATAGAAATTATTCAAGGACCTGAAACAAAAACTCTCTTCACATAGTGTAATAAAAGACTTTATGATAGGGTGACTTACTTTCAATCTGCAAAACAGATTCTTGGAATTCTTCCTGCCTTGCATCAGGCTTTGACTTTGAGCTCTGATCTCTTCCCAGAAAATGTTAATGGATGCTCTTTAAAGGCAGATGCACGAGTATTTGTAAATAAATGTAGGATTTTTTTTTTCAGTTTTTGTGGGAAAAAATAGTAGTAGTTGAAGTGATTATTACTGTATTTCAGCATATATTTGATGAAAAACAGTTTGTCTGGGAAAGAAAAGTTACAACTAATTGGGTGTGTGTGGTTGAATTACAGAGCCAACCAAATTTTGGTACTCAACTTGTCCTCGATTGTCTGTTCTAGTTGCTATCTGATACTAGTTTTAGGCACCAGTTTTGTGTAAAAGAAGGTGTAACATTGAAAGGCCTATAATTATAGAAAACCTGTCACCTTGCTCTCAGTATTGAGAATTAAATGTGTGCACTGTAGATCACAAAATCCCTTGCTGGCTACACTTCTGTGTCCTAGGTCACTTGATGACCTTGCTGTATGAGAGGAGAGAAAACTTGGTTTGCAAAGCTAGCAGTGGCTGTGCAGATGAGATTCAGTTTGAAATTCGTAAAGCATCCAGAGTAATGCTGTTTGTGAGGAGGAGGGTAAGGAAGGCACCTCCTCAGAGAAGCCAGAAGCAGCAAGTTGTAGTGATCAGGAAGAGAAACTTGTGAAGGGTGATGGAAGTCACAACTAGGAGCACAGTTTTTGTATGTTGAAAGAATGCTACTCAGTGGTGAAATGTGTATATGCACACATAGAGAATTAGCAAACGTTAATAGAGAGGGCATTTCACCTTTTTCTAATAGAGATTGTATTTTGCTTTAATAAGAAAAATACGTTTTTGAAAAGCTTTCAGAGAAGAGACTGTTTAGAAGAGATGTGGAAAGAATAAGTAGAGGACTGCCACAGGATACTGACAGGAGAGAATTGTGTACACCAAGTAAATGATAAACTTGGCAAGTTACTTGTGACCCAAAGCTAAAGTGAGCTCAGAGAGTTGAAATAATTTGTGAAGAGGGTGCTAGAGACCAAAAAGGAAGAGTTAAAGCACATGTGGTTAAATACTTTTGTTAGACATTAATGAATAGAGTTAGGAGCAGAAATAATGGAAACTTCCATACCTGTATATCATCATATCTGATTACATTAAAATGGAATAGGAAATAATGCAGATTTAGCAAAGTTTTAAAAAAAATGCATGCAGTTGAGTTGTCACGCTTGGGAATAAGGTAGAGAGGTAGTATTGTTTGGCAAGGAATACTGAAAAACAAAACATGGGGCGTCATCGGCGTGGGAGATGTGCCGTGGTGGGAAATCACGTGCAGTGCTGCAGACGTCACCGCGCTGCTCGACCAGTACCAGGGCTGTGTGGTGTCTCGTGATTCCCTACATGGAAGTCTTCCTGGAAGTTTTTGGCTAAGCTCAGTAAAAGGAAGAAGTCACCTTTTCTTTGGGATGTGGTGCATGGCACGTTGTCAATTTTATTCAAACGTAATGTAATTCTTAATAATCGTGGCAACTCCGTTTGGAAAAAGTCTTGTTTAAAATGTTAGAGTTCAGGGTTTTGAGCTTCCAGCTGAAACTGGGCCAGTCTTAAAATGCTGATGTCACTGAGGTTTTATTGACTGCATAAATACAAGGCTGTAAATATCAACAGCAGTTATTTGTGTTATGTGAAACGGTATGTTTGCTTTCCCCTAGGTCGGGGTGATTGATTTCTCTGTGTATTTGAAGAGTGATGATGACATTGGGGGTAAAGAAAGGTATGTCCTCACCAAATGCCTCAGATTTTGCTTGTTAACAAGCGATTTCTTGACCGGTGCCCTGGTTTTTATAGAAATAAGTCAGGTTCTCTGGAGGTGAACTCTTCTGATCCCACTGTCTTGGGAATAATGCCACACTACATTGTTCTGTATTACTCATTAGCTGCAAGAGGATTTGCAGTCTGAAGTAAGCCTCAGCAGCATCACCCACTGCCTTTACCTGCTGGACAGTGAGTTGCCAGGTGGCCGTGGGAAGGAGCCTGCAGACCTTTGAGCCCTCAGCTTGGGATTTAGTCAGTGTTTCAGAGAGACAGAGTTGTGGCAGAGTAAACAAACATCCTTCTTCTTTTCAGACTACGTATGTTCTTATGCTTCATATAGAGAAATTGTTTGCAGTTAAAGCATTAGATTTTTTTGTCTCACTGGTACCACAACATGTAAGTTTTTGACTTCATGATTCTGAGATAAAGTTGCTTCCTTTCTTTTTAAAGACAGCATTAGGATGGAGATTTGCATATGATAGATTTATATGTTTTCAGTACATAGTTCCCAACATCATTTTGCTAAAGCTAATTTTGTTATGTGCTTGCTTTAGAAACGTACAGATTGCTGCAATATTAGACCAAAAGAATTATGTTGAAGAACTAAACAGGCAGCTGAAGTAAGTATTACTTTGAAGTATGTGTGCCAGGCCCGTCAGGTCAATTCCTTGTGTCCCACAGCTTTGTGAGAGAGCATCAGAGAAGAGATGCAGATTCTTCATGTTAAGGCTGAGGATTTAGTGAAGTTGGAAAGAACACTCCCCTGGAGAGACTCAGGAAGTGTCAGTTTCCATGGTTTTGTTTCTGACAGTCAATCTTTATTCTTCAAAGAAACCAAAAGCAGCAAGCCAAAGCTGAAGAAGGTCCTCACGATTCCTAACTTCACAGGAATGGAGTCTGGATTTTGACTGTGTTCTGTTTGATAGTTTGCAGAAAGTGTTCTGATGAATCCATGTGTGTTTCTTTGCCTTCTAGGACATTTTAGTCCGTACTCAGGACTGAAACTGAGTTAGTTGGTTGCTTGCTGGAAGCCACTTCCAGGTTGTAGGTTGTGGTTCCTGTAGGAACAGTTCTCAGGAAAGAAGCAGTTCTCAAGGAATGTACCCTTTACTTTGCCAGATGGTACAAACGTAGGCCACCGCTCTCTTGGTTACTGTGCAAATAGAGGGACAGTGATTTTAATTCTCTGAGGAGTCTTGTGCAAAAGAGCTGTATGAGGAGCTAAAAAGGAAAAAACCCCACAACCAAACCCCAAAAACAAACAACAGACCCACAAAGAACTATTGCAGGTCAGCAATAGAGACCTGACACATCCCAGAACACATTAAGTTTCTTTACCCTGCTGTGCTTAATGAACTGGCACCTTCTGAGGGCACCACAGAGAAATGTATGGAAAAGTACTGTGGGGTTTGGTTTTTTCCTTTGTGGGACATGCAGTCTGAAAAATGTGCTTCCAGCACAAACAGGCAATCAGGTGTAGTTTAATACCATAAAAAAACACAGAGTAATAAAAGGGAATGAAATTCTGATGAGACTCATAAATAAGAAGGAACAAGAAAGAGGTAACCTGAGGACACATGAAAAAATGTGGAGAAGCAAATGGTGTTATAAAAGAAATGTGTTTTGGAGAAGGAGAATCTGGAGAATGGTTTTGTTATATGGGGAGGGAAATAACGTAGATATTGTCTTATAAGGGAACTCATTTGTCTTTTAGATGCAATATAGTTTTGAGGATGAAGGAAAGAGTCATAGCCAGCCAGAAGTTGAAGTGACAGGAATGACATAGGGAATTGGGAATAAGTGCATAGCTGTTCAACAAGGGAGGCTAATGTTTAGGAAAGCCTCAAATAATGGGAGCAGACCTTATAAGTCTTACCTGTTAATCAGTGTGCCTTGCATTAAAGCTTTTGAGCTTGGTTGAATGAGTTTTGATGTAATTTTGAGTGATTTTTTTTCTCTTCTCTCTCAGTAGCACAGTGAGCAGCCTGCACGCAAGAGTTGATTCACTGGAGAAATCAAACACTAAACTAATCGAAGAGGTATTGTTTTATTTCAGTAATGTATTACTTACAGTCAAAGACTTGTTCTCTAAATATGCTTAATTATTTTTTCCTACATAAGATCTGTATAGTGTGTTCAGGTACCTTTATTTTGGCCTAAAGGATGGGTGCAGTAGCTGCAGGATTTGCAGTCAGCTTGCCCAGGTAGCCTGCAGCATCACCAAATTAAACATTGCAGTTTCCAGTTTTGGACAAAATGAGAAGAAAATCCTTCCTTAATGCAAGCTGTGTGTCTGATTTTGTGCACATGACCAGTGCAGAATGGGTGACACCACTTGCTAAAAGGGACAGAAGGTGGTTCACCGAGCAGTTTCTGTTACTGTTCTCAGCCTTAGCCCAAGGATTGCTTCTTACTTGTTTGCTGTCTGCTTGCATACAGCTTTTAGACCTGCCTAGCTCTGGTTTTGTGTTGGTATCCTGTATTTCTGGTTATCTTTGATGCTTGACTAGATCCCAATATTTTTAGCTTTGTAAGAGAGAACACCTTTTCTCAGTTTGAGCTGCTTGAGAAATAGTTTACGCAGTGGGAAATGGAAAGCTGTTGAAGAGACAGCAGGCTCTCTCTGGGTGTAATGTACCCAGGCAGGGTGAAAACATGTTTCTGAGTGTTAATTCTCAGAGTATTCTGGTTTCTTTACAAGCCTTCAGCCTGACTGGCCACCTGTTCTGATGGTTTGGCTTATAATTCTGACATTAAGGTATATATTTTAGCGCCCAGTTACGAAGTTTCACCTCTTCTCATTTTGTTTGCTATCCATCTGGGAGAGGCTTTGCTGTGTGAATGCTCCATATGATATGTTAAGATGTCTAAGAAAGAATAAAACAGAATGGACTTGAAGCCAAATGGGAAGAAGAATTGAGGGGAGGGAATTGAGGGTCTGTAAGTCGCAGTGAAGGAATGAAAAGAAAGCATGTGCTTTACCAGACGTGAAATAATGAAGTAACTTGAGTACTCATGCTGCTGTGTGATCAAAGGGACTCATCACTAAAGCCAGAAGCTTTGTTTTTGTTAAAAACAATTAATCTTCTGCTTGGTAGACAGTGAGCGTAGAGCAGGGAATGTCTTGGCCTCGCATCCATCAGAACATTCTTTACTTCTGCTCACAAAAGTGATTGCTTTTCTTTCTTTTGTTCTTTTCAGTTAGCAATAGCCAAAAATAATATAATTAAACTTCAGGAAGAAAACCATCAATTAAGGAGTGAGAATACGCTGATTTTAATGAAGACACAGAATCATCTAGAGGTATGTTAGTTTTACCACATGTAAGATAGTAATGGTGTGTGGTTTGTTGTCATTGAAGTGTGTGTACATCTCAGCCTGAAGTAAGCTGTGCAATCTGAAACCACTTTGGTAGGGAAAAAAAAAATAAATCTGCTTTATAATGGCCTAAGTATATCCAAAATCTAGTACACTAGATTGTTTTATAACTGGGTGCAGATTTTGTAGCATTTTTACCTTGTCGTTCTTCTGGTTTTCTTCCCTCCTTCCTTTTTTGTTCAAACTGTAAGCTATATCCAGGAGCATTGAGCCAATATTATCTGAAAAGCTTGTCAAAACAGGGTGTGTTTTAGTTGCTTTATAATGGCCTAAGTATATCCAAAATCTAGTACACTAGATTGTTTTATAACTGGGTGCAGATTTTGTAGCATTTTTACCTTGTCGTTCTTCTGGTTTTCTTCCCTCCTTCCTTTTTTGTTCAAACTGTAAGCTATATCCAGGAGCATTGAGCCAATATTATCTGAAAAGCTTGTCAAAACAGGGTGTGTTTTAGTTGTCAGACTGTCTGTCCTGGGCTGTCTTGTTGTGTATACAATTGCCAAACTTGATTTTCAAGCTGTGATTTGTAGCTCCTTATGCGTCTTTTGTATGTGTCTTACAGGATAATTGGTAAAAGCACGGGTTAAGCAGATGTTTGGATTGCTTAGTATTGAAACAGCTGTGTATGAAAATGACCCTGAAGGACAGTACTGGAGTGTAGATGTTAATTTTGCTAGATGTACTACTGTCTCATTCTACAGCTGAGGGCCACAGAGCAGAAACAGCTCTTTCTTGTTTGTGCTGTGCTTGGAGAATGTACTTGTAAGGGTTTCCCCCTCCCCAGTGTTAAATTTATGCTGTTAATTGCTGACCTTGTGATGAAGAAAGACAGAATCTCTGTACCTTTGCAGGCAACCAAAGTGGATGTTGAAGCAGAGCTTCAGACCTACAAACAGTCCAGGCAGGGTTTGGATGAGATGTACAGTGAAGCACGTAGACAGCTGCGGGAGGAGTCGCAGCTTCGACAGGTAAGCGATCCTGCCTGGGATTGTGCAGCACCTCCACCAGAGACAGTGCTCCAGAGGAGCTGGGGCATGAGTGTGTCTAGCTTTGCTGAGGTTAGGTGCTGCATTTAATTGCCTTTAATATCCTTTTCTCTGACTGCCTGTAATAAAAAGGTTTTTTTGAACAGAGCAATCCATACACCAATATTGCTGTAATAATGTTGCTGAAGAGTAGTAAAGAAAATACAGTTTTCTTTGAGAAATTTTTAGGTGAGTTGTTAGCAATAGGGTATGCTCTGTATCTGTGCTATATCTTGTGGAAATATAAATGCTTCAGTTCTGTTTTTGTAATTAATACTTGGGCTGTGTACCCGTGTCACTGTGTGTCTGTGTAACACGGTCAGGTAATTTCTTACGACCTGAATTGTCTTCTCCTGAAGTTTAAAAAACCTACTGGTCACTAAGTATATAGTGTAATGTTACTTAGTGGATAATTTGCAAGGTTAAAGAGAGGCAGAATTCCTGAGGTGGTGAAGTAGGTGGTGCTGCAGCTCTGTCAACTTTTGTGGGGTTTTTCAAAGCAGAAATAAAATGCTGCATAATGATTTAAATACTGTGTGTTGTGTTTTGCAGGACATGGAGAATGAGCTAGTGATCCAAGTTAGTATGAAACATGAAATAGAGCTTGCCATGAAGTTGCTGGAGAAGGATATCCATGAGAAGCAGGACACCCTCATAGGCCTTCGGCAGCAGCTCGATGAAGTTAAAGCAATTAACATGGAAATGTACCAAAAGCTGCAGGTAAAGGAGCAATCTCTGTTAAAGTGCTGAAACGATCAAAGGGAGAGAAATGCATTCCTGTTCTGGTTGATTAAATGCTGCTGTTTCTTAGTTTTGGGTTTGCATAAGCTTCTTAGGCCAGCTTGACATTCTAGAACTTTGCTGATACAAACGTGATTTCACACAAAGAAGTTCTTAAGGCAGTCAGTTGGTGGGTTTACAGAAGAAAAGAGCATGAGGATAAGATCATTGCCTAATAACATGGCAAGTGAAATAGAGAGTAGTGTATCTAAAATAATGACATTTTTTGGCTTGTGTTGTATTAAAAAAGCAGAAGAATGTTGGCACATAGTGAGGAGTGGAAGAGAACACCTGACCTTTCACAGTAAGGAAAGAAAGACAAGATTGTACAAAATGGAAAAAGCTAATTACAGTTTGGTTGGGTTTTTTTGTTTTTTTTTTTTAAATCTTTTAACAAGTTAAGAAAATCTGCAACAGTGCAGTGCCTTTTTGGGACTATAGGGATCTCAGAGACCCCAGATGCAGCTAACAAATGACCTGACACCAGGGAAGGGTCCCAGTGAATTATTTATGCAGAACATAAATTTGATTTATGAACTCAGGTATCAAAGCCAGCACAAGAAACCAGTCAAATATGTGACAGAATGCAGGGAAGAAAATTAGGATGCTGCAGAGAGATAATGGAGGTGCTGGACTTCTCCACCTGCAGCTGTGAAGGAATGGGACCAGAGGAAGAGAAGTATAAATAGAGCTGGAAAGCAAAGTGAGAATGTTCTCCAGTGTGTTAGGAGCTGTGGGGTTTTGTTTTGTAGGAGAACCTCAGGAATTTTCAGGACTAAGCATCTTAGCTCTTTGTTGGTAAGGTTATGATGGGCTACTTGATCCATGAATTTAAGGTGACTTCCAAAATGATTAACTAAGAAAGGAAACCAGAGTGAAACACTTATTAAATAACATCTTCACCTGCAGAGTACAAAGCTACAGATTCACTAGGTGTAAAGCTGTAAAGCACTGTGGGTTTTTAGGGGGAAATGCTTAAAAGTGATCCAAACCTGCTGCCATCTCAGATGCTGAAGAAAAAGCAATGCACAGCCATTTCAGGTTTAACCTTTTGTGTAACACAGGTTTCTGAAGATGCTATGAAAGAAAAGAGTGAAATCATTAGTCGATTAGAGGATAAGACCAATCAAATTAATGCAACTATGAAACAGCTAGAACAAAGGTACAGCTCCATCTTTGTTTTTCTTCATTCGTGACTCCATCCCCTCATGTTTTACTGCATTCCTACAGTTGCCACAGAAATGTAACTTTCAACCAGAACATTTAGCACGAGCCTTTCTGGAACTTTGAACTCGTGCTTTGCTGTTGGATTTTTTTCTGTTTAACAAATACAGTTACTTTAAATACAAACTTAATCTTTCAGTTTTCTTCCTCCACCATCTTTCTTCTGGTCCTAGGTTTTTGTGCTGACGGCAAAAGTTGTTCTTTGAGTCGTTGCAAAATTCTGATTCATTGTTAGCTATTTTTTCCCACCTGAATGCAATGCAGTAGAAACTGAAACATTAGTCTTGCTTATACTTAAACATGTGCTTAATGCAAACATTCAGTGCATTCAGGGAAAACTGATGTGTTTGCTGAAGCTGTTCCAGTTGTTGCCCATTGCTTGGGAAGTGCCATTGCTTTCCATGACTTGTGTTTTCACACTGAAAAGGTTGAAAAGTGAAAGACTAAAATTCCAGAATATAAATCTGCATTATGGTTAGACTGCATGTACTACACTGGATTAAAGTGTAATTCATATGTGCTAATTTAGTGACCTTATATGCAACACTGATTTTTTAAACTGTAAAATATGACATACCCATAAGCCCTGTCATGTTGGTGTTTGGCATGTCTTTTTTTTCCCATTTAAATCTGATTATGAAAAGCATGGTTATGTATTAAAAAATTTAGTGACATGAATATTCTTTTATTGACATCCTTTTTTTCCTCTTTTTTCTTTTTCTTTTTATCCTTTATCCCAATTTTTGTTTTCACTGTTTTGCTGCCTTCATCTGTCTTTGATTTTTGTCCACTGCATTCATGAAGTGACAAAGAACTGTTAACTCAAACTAGGACAATTGCAATGTCATTTATGAAATGTGCTGGCAATGAAGTTCAGCACCAGTATAAACTTGTCAAGGATATATCGTTCTGAAAGCTCCTCCAGATCTCTTGTGTTGAAATTATTACTGATCAGATAGAACTTAAGATATTTTAAAGTGGTATTAGAAATCCTGCACTGTAATTGATCGTAGCTGAGTTCTGTTTTGTTTTCTGAGAGAACATCATCTTCAATCTCACTTTGCCCCTCTTAAAAAAAAAAGGAAAACAGTAAATTACTGCACTGTTATTAAGCAAATGTAACCTAGTTTTCTAATGCTGTCTTACCACTTCTTAATTGTCAAACGAAGTTTATTTTAAAAGTTTAGATATCTTTACTTTGACATTTTTATGACATTTGTTTCTGATTAGTGATTTTTCCTATTATTTGGTACTAATAGATTTAAAAAGTAGCCCTGCTGGCTAATACTCCCCTTCTCCCTGCTCATTTCTTTCCCTTTTAGGCTGCATTTATCCACAACATGCTCTCTGTTGGGTTTTGTGGCTATAACTAGCACAGGAGTTTGAGGGGGGAAGAGTCGTGTGCTGTGTCAGAGCAATACCTGTAAGGACAGAGTCTGGTGTCAACATACACATCCTGTTTGTGCAGTGAGAGAGTAACAGGGTCTGGGGATAACAGCTGAAGCACAATTCCATTTTGCTGGTGGCATGTGGGCAAAAGATTTTCATGGAAGGAAAATGTGTTTGGAGCCTGACTTGGGTGGGACTCAGCCAGGAGGGACAGTGTGCTGCAGCACATCCTGTGGCTGACAGCTGTGTAAAGCAGGTGTGCCCTGACAGCTGGCGTGGAAGGTGCAGTACTAAGTGGGATGTACAGTTAGGGCCCAGATCCTGAACTTGTCTAACTCGTTTGTGGGCGAGGAGCTTACTTGCCTGTGTCTACAGAGTAATTATCACCTGTGGTGTTGGCCAAACCCTTTTCCCTCCCTCCCTCCATTATTAGGCAGCCTTTACAAGTCATATTTCTGCTTTGAGCTGCTGCTTGTCTGCACTGCAGACACGAGAGAGTTTGAGTGCATCCTGGTGTTCCACGGCAGTTTGTAGTGGACGTTGACTGGGCAGATAATCTTGGGGTTTTTAAGCAGAAGGGGATGTGTTTGCAAAGGTGGGGGCAGGATGCAATAATACAGAGAGGGTTTCCACTCCATGGTTATGTACTACCTTATTCCTTGGTCAGGAGTCCGAAAGAGCCTTTAACATGGGCTGGCTACTGAAAAATAACTATCTTCCATCCTCAAATAAACCCAAACCAGAAACTCTGGATAGAACAGTGAGTAGACCACAGCAGAAATGGGAGCACTGTCCATCTCCCAATCTGCAAACCAGTGTCATCTGAATGGCAAATCCAGCTCAGCACCTGAATTTCAGCAGTGCAGTCAGCCTTGGTGCTGGGCTTGGGGTTGGTGCTGCAGCTTTTGGGTAGCAAGCTCCCTCTCTGCCTTGCTTCTGGAAACTGCACTGCAGTTGATGTTGTGATTTAGGGAAGGATTTAATTTGCTTTTGGTGTTAATGTCTTGTGTAGCTTCATTCAGCTTCTGCACAGGGAGTTGACCTGCTTTTTCCCAGTATTCTGCTTTCCATACAAGTTTTGGCTCTGCACTGCCACTGCAGGTGGGACTGGGAGCATTCTTAAAGCCCCTGGTACAGCTGAGTTGAGATAGTTTAATTCCTGACTTTTTCCACTTGTTTACTGGCAGCTTTTGGAAACTCCTGCTGGTGCAACTTCATCAGCAGAGGCACAAATGCAGACATAGTGCTGACTTAGCTTCTTTTTCGCTGACACAGAGCTGTGAGTTGCTCTGCCTTCAGCTCGCTGATGGCAAGTGAGAAAGGAAGCATTTCACAGATTGCTCCCAGCACTTACCTGAGAGGCCCTTGAAACAGTTTGCTAGACACAAGGTATCAGGTGGGGACACTCAGTGGTACTGCACAGGCTCTTTTACTCTCCTGCCTTCCCATCCAGGCAGGTGTAGCCACGAAATAGCACAAGTCCCATTTAGTATGTTTACTTTTGTTACATTGCATCCATCTTTCTTTGACCAAGGGGAGAGGAACCACAAGGAACTCATGAATTCCAAGGGGAGTGTTAGCTGAAGCAGACACAAACCTCTAGAATTCAGAAAGAAAGGATTAAATAAAAAAGCAAGCCCTCGTTTCTTGATTAATCATGTTTATTTGTCTATGTACTAATGGAGCTAGTATGGAGCTATTTTAACCAGCATCAGAATGCATTATTTTTAATACAGATTATTGAAATAAATTCAAGGGTATGGTGTAGTTGAGGCAGTTCTATAAATGTGGTGGGATCTGTTACGGTGTATTTTGTTGTATTAGGCTAGTTAAGTTTGGGGCTTTTTTTGTTGTCTGGTTGCAGTGCTCTGTACTCAGACTTTTGCCTCAGTTGTTTTGAGCTGCTTTTGCACAACACATGCTCTGCCCTGTCTTAATGGGTGATTAGTGCAAGCCAAGTATTCTTACAGGGTTTATTTGGGAAGAAAAAACAGCTTCAAAACTAACACATGGATGTATGCTAAAGGAAAAACAAAAGCATAAAGCTACATGCTTCAGTTCTTAACTATCTGTCACCATGCTTTGGCACATGTTATTCATGAGCATGAAATAAAACAGTGATTACTGACAGTGATTACTCTCTTGCTGTATGGAAACCCAGGAGCAAGTTCTCAGGCATTGTATGGATTTCTCGTTTGAGTTTGTGAGTTTCCCCCAAGCTTTGTTTTTATTTAGAAATGTTTCTATTTCCCCATTTTTCTTTTATTTGTCTTCTTCACCCTCTACACCCTAGTTCTATCTTCAGTTTTACCCAAAGTTGATTTGAATTACACCAGATTGCAGCAAGCAGAGAAGGCTCAAATGGAGGCTGAGGCTGAGGATGAGAAACTTAAACAGGAGTATGTGAATAAATCTGAAAATCTGCAGAAAGAATTCTCCCAGAAGGAGAAACAGCTGTAAGTATATCTTTGCTGTTTGGAAGAACACATGGCAGTAATCATTCTGCACTGCAGTGTGTCCTGTGCCTTGACACAGGCTTGTTGTGGAGGAATGGTTTGCAACAGAATGTAAATGCTGAAGACCTTTGCATTGGGTACTGGCAGGACAGGAGGAAACATGCCATTTGAAGACAGGCAGGCTAGGTTTGAGCGCCTCTAAAACGGTGTGCATCTTGAAAGGAAGAGAGACAACACCATTATTTTCTGTCAAAAAGTCCAGCTTAGTTAATAAGGAAATTGTTGTAAGTGGGGGAAAGCATGTAGTGTAGTAGTAGGAATCATACACAGTTTTAACAAAACCCACAAGTAGGTAATAGTGTGCACTTAAACAGAAGTGGCATAAGAATATTTTTATTGATCACATTTATGAATGAGGTTTAACTTAACCACTGTGCAGGAAATAAAACATGACAAATCACCAGAGTCGTAAAAGTAACATAAAAGCCAATCCCTCTAGTCTTGCTCCTGTTAAATCCTTTAGGACTGTAATGGTAAGAGCTCCCTGTTCCCTGTTTGGGAAGAGAAAACAGGAATTATTTGAGTAAATGTGTGACACACAGACTTGGGCTTAAAACCTGGTGATTTCCAGTCCCATTGTTTGCCTCTCTCACAAGTCTGAATGTTACTACACTTGTGTAACTGTCATGATCAGTGTTCACTTTGCTACCACAGTCATCTCTGCAGATTTGGGCAAAAGAAAGTTCAGACCCCAACCTTAGAATTCTGCAGTTCTGAGACCTTCAGGTCATGTTCACTTCAGACAGATGCTGAGGTAGTGACCCAAAATGTAAGTCTCTCCTTTAGACATGGTTTTGGTTTTAAAGCAGGAAATATGAATGTGGATACAGGTTTTCTGTCAAAAAACCTGGCATGAATGCCCTTCAGACATTTTTTCCTTCATTGTGCTGGCACAGTTCAAATCTAGAAGGCTGAGCTGTGTGCTTCCACCTTTGGTTTGTCCATAACAGTCTTAAGTAACAACTCCTTCATGGAACTGCTAGTAAAATTCCAGCTAGGATGGATCTTCCATCAGAGTAGCCCTAATTCCTTTAACTGGACTTCAGTTAGACTAACAGAACCTACATCCCTCTTTATGTTGAGTCTCAACTGTGTAGGAAGCTCAATAAAAATAGTACCTTAAAGTCCTTCCTCATTTATGTTCAAATATGTTCAAAATGCCATAAGCCTTAGTCTGAAGTAGAAGATTCACATCTAAGGGTGTAAAATTAAATAACTTTCATGGAAAGCAGATTCATCTGCAGTCACTGTCTGCATCAGCAGTGGCAGCGTGGCCGGTTGGTCTGGGCTACTGGGGAAAGAAGTTTATATGACACAGTCAAGGGGGATTTCCCTTATGCATGCTCAGAAATGCTTCAGAGTTTTGTGGTTATCTTCTCTTGCTCATTTATTTCAGAGGTCAGCTCTTCAAAATTGTGCCACATTTGTGGTCCTCCGAGTCCATTTAATTTTAAAAGCATTTTCTAAGTGCATGTGCTTTGTCTATTACACTGACATCTAAAACATTACAGTGATACATTATTTCTCTTTTAGAAAACATTTAAGTTAATAAGTTATTGTGATAATAGTGCATCGCACCCAGAAATAAGTGATGTTCTTGTGCACAGTGATTTCTGTTTGTTTGTTTCCCATATTCCAGGCTTCAGCTGGAAACAGATCTGAAGATACAGAGAGAGTGGCGGCAAACCTTAGAGGATGATCTTCAAAAGGAAAAGGAAACTGTGTCTCGTCTGAGAATAGAGACCCAAGAAATAATTAACCTTAAAAAAGTAAATTCTGCAGCAAAATTTGACTAGTAATCTGGAAATTGACTGCAAAATTAATGATGGACTTAGACATGGTATTTTTAAGAAATTTTGCAAATAGATAAGAAACATTAGATTAATGTATTCTCACAAAGAGAATATGTGAAAAATGGGAGTTTGCTCCCTATTCGGTCCTCAGATCAAAACTCAGCTTTGAATAAGGAGAAATGGAATCCTCATCTTCCTTTCTCTGTTGTGTTGAGGACTGTCTTCATGGTGGGCCAGAAGGTGCTTCAGTTCCTCTCGGGTCCAGTATTCGTGACTTGTAGTGGTGTTTGTCTCTGCAGTAAGTGGGGTTGATTTGAGAGAGAGAGAAAGCTGCAGAAGCAGAAATGCTTCTTTGTCTCTTGGGTTTAATCTTGAGTGTTTGTTGTTTGAGGTGGATTTGGATGGAGTGATGGATCATGCATTCACAGAGCTGCAGCCCTTGGCTTGGACAGGGCACTGTCTGCTGG